AGCGGAAGTGCTTCCAATGACAGATACCTCACATGTGACAAGGAAGAACAAGAGTAACTCGAGGATGACCAAGCCGCAGTTGATGTGCCGTCCGAAACATTCAGCTCCATTACCTTATCAGTATCAGACATGTGCACAACAAGCACCGACGAGAAACAGCCGAGGCCTTCACCAGACTAGATGACATATTGTGATCTGTCCCGATCGTCTCGGGCAACACCACCATCACGTTCAGAATGACACGGGGGAGAGTGCTAATGCCTTACCAGTTCGCACGACGCGTCAAATATGAAACAAGTGGAGGAACCAACTCTCCCCATCCAAACCAATCCGAAGGCATACAATGGCTCCGAAATCACCTGCTACGGATGCAAGCAGAATGACTTGAGCCGTGAGAAGTTATTTGTGGTAGACGAGCCAGATCCTGTTATTGCTGGGGTCCCTAAAAGCCGCACCCTAGACTTGGTGATGACGATCCATACTGGCACACATGTTCCACAGCCTCAGGTACCGACAGGGCCCCCACAAGAATCGGGGGATGATCCTAACACTCCGGTGAGGACAAACAAGACACGAGGCAACGGTACCCAATGCTGTTTGACACACCCTAGGTAACTTTAAGGCGCGCATTTGCCTACATCCCAAGCCAGATGCTCAACCCTACATGGACCCGCCACGTGAGTGGAGCGTTTACATCACACCCAAATTGCAAGCCGAGCTGAGCAAGATGGAGAAAGACTTGGTCATAAGAAGAATCTCCCGACACTTGGACTGGTGCAGCTCGATTAACAACGGCTGTTTAAAAAAAAAGACGGCTCACTCAGGCCGTGTATCTATCCAAAGCAACTTTTTAAAACGGTGTCCACATAAGATCCCCTCTGAAAGAGCTTAATCCAGAATTTACACTGGCAAAGTTCGTTTCCAAACTAGCCACCAAAAGCAGGGTATTTGTCCGTCCACATCGTAGAGGAATTCCAGGAGCTGACTAAATTTAGAACACTATTGGGCCGCAATACTGCGCTCGTCGCCTACCTTTCGGCTTATCAGTGATGCAGATTATAATGAATGGACCGCATCATAAAAAGCCAGGTGCCTGAATGTGTTGAAATCGCCGATGACGGTCGGACGGAGCGGGAGCATGACGGGCACCTCATTGCTCGGATGAAAAGCGTCAATAAGAGAGGTCATCATTTTCTTAATGGTTGGAATAATTAAACCTTAAAGATTCTGGTCTGATACGTCTTGACGCTGGTAACTGGGTTTGATGAAATAGTTTTAACTGGGTAATACGAAAAAAATAAAATCTTCCGTTAGGACAACGCGGAATCTGAATGTGTGCTTGATATAACTGTTGCCTAAATTAAAATCACTTTAATTCATACGGTAACAATAAAGCCAATACGATGGTCTGCTGAGTGTAATAATTTACGAATCTGTATCCTTGAATCCTTTTAAAAATCGACATGTTAATCAAATACGCAACATTACATTGAAGCAACATTATGTAAAAGCCTAGTTGGGCAATTGCTAAGTACTCTAGCGGCAATTTCTTTTTTATTTCGGATTTCATTTTATGCAAATAGAATTTGAAAGGTTATAAAGCAAAACGATAACTACCCCCCTGATCATGATGTAAACAAAAATGAATGTCGACCACAGAAAAGCACTAAGAAGCTGTGATAAACGTTTCAGTTTTTAATTCAATAGCATTTATTAAGGCAAACTAACAAGTAGAATAAGTCATTCCATTAGATGCAACGATACATAGTCAGAGGTGCCGATGGTTAGGACAAAACGATTTCCTGAACCCAAGTACAACTACTTCAAAACTGTCAAACAAGAACTATTGTCAAACCACAGTCATGTACTGGATAGAGTAGTACAATAAAATAACGCGCATAAAAAAGTAAGCTGCTTTGCCCCAACATCACTTGCACTTGATACATCAGGATTCCAAAATCTGAAAAGGGTTCATGCATTTAAACTACTAGTACCGGGGTATTTCTTATGGATATTTTCTGGACCGGCACGAGGGCAAACTGTGTCCCCCATTTTTATTTCCATATTCGACAGCCTATTTTCATAAATTTTTGCAGGAAAGTTGGTTGGCATATTATTTACTAGGTGACCTTGTGTGGACGCGCCTCGGTGACCAAAAGAGGGCGTTTTACTGTCTGTAGCCTATTAATTGGTCTAAAACGGTACTTATATGGCATGATTTTAACATTCAAACGCTATCAAGTTTGTTAAAAAAATCCTATCGGTCAATATCCATCCAATTACACAACTTTGGCAAGCAAATATATACCCACTAGCCCACTAAAATCGGCTCTATTGAAGTACTTTGGTATTGTCAGACATGCTCAATATTTAATTATGCAAGAACTACCAAAAATAGCAAACCCACCCCCCCCCCCCCAAAAAAAAGGGTTGGTAGGAAAAAAACAAGAAGAAACCTGACAATTATTAGTGACAATTATACGCGGCTTTTCACGCGATATTGGATTCCCGTCATGCATTGTATGTGGTTACGTGACTATGTTATTTAGTGTTAAGTGGAAAGTTGGTTGGTTTGTTCGGTCACAGAAAGGTTTTACTCACAAAAGTGCATATTTCCATGTTTTTATACAAAACATTACCAAAAATGCTACAATTCCACTAGTGTCTTTGAAACGGTTGGCAAGGGCAACCATTGTCATCCTACAGGCTTTGTTTTGGCACCATATTCATCACCGATGAAGGTAAGGAAAAGTCAGTAAATTTCATCTGGATCAACATAATCGTTCTAGAGCTATCATAAAAAAAGTTTCTTGAGGGGACACATACAGCCCACCCCACTGATCCGATAGGGCTAGGGTTAAACAAAGCAACCACGTATACAGTTATACATGATGGATTTACATCTGATGGATTAATATACAAACAAACGCTAAAGCAAAGGCTCTCCTAACTTTCAGGTAAAAAACTAAATCAAATGATTCCGAAGTGAGTATTATCTATTATCATCCCGGGATGTGTTATTCACATTGTTAATTGCTACTATCTATCAAGCCAGGTCAGAAAGTACCCGTCTCTATCTTTCAATGGAATTTAATGCTACGTGCGGAGGCGTTTGGACAACAAGCAATTAAAACAAACATCTAGATTTCTATCTCGCTGAGGCGACTTACTATCTCGCAGCCGGGAGCTTCCATTTCGGAAAAAGTAACTCAAGATGGCGAGTCGCCGCGGTGAGATGGGAGTCGCGCCGCAGCGAGATACTAATTAGGATTTTTTTAATTGCCACTGGCCCTTCTACGCTTCCGTATGTTCGTTATTAAAACTAAGAGTGATTGATACAAAATATCTGGATGTTATCCTGGAATTAGATTGAAACTACTTGAAACTCATCTCTCCTGCATTCGCTTCTTTCGGTTTCATAAAATAACTGAATTCAAACAGTTGGTTTCCATCTGAAATAAAAAGTATAGGAAAAATGACGATTTACATATCATAAAATTATAATATGGCACATCACGGTCTCTGGTATTATAAAGACAATCTTAACTGTCTTCTATACTGCCTGTTATGGAATTCTCCATTGCAATTCAACATTTCTACGAAAGCCAGGTAAAACATAAGCATTATACCAAGTAACGATCAGTATCTTTCATTCATGCAGGTAAAACAAAATACGTATAATAGTATTTCGAATTATCGCCAATAAGACTGAAGTAAACAATTTACTGCCCTAACCTTGTTCAATGGAACTATTTTGAAGAAAAGTGATCACTTTTATTATTGAAATATTAGTCAGCCACTAAAACTATTTGTGCATGCCACAGCTTTGCAAGACAATTACGGGGTACTTTGGTCGTCACTTGAAAATACTAATACACAAAATGGAAAAAAAAAACACCTTCCCATACGATGGTAAATCTTCAGTCGCTACGCCAAGACTTACTCCACCTGAAATGATTGCACAAATTACGCGATAGTTTGTTGCGCAAGTCGCAGACTTATGCTGCCTCACCCTCACCCACCAACTGGATGTCAACAAAATAATTTGGTTTTTATCTAAACCTTGACGCAGTACCAGTACAATTGGCGAAAAACGGGAAACGCATTATGTACCGTAAGTATAATAATTGAAAAATGACGATTGTAAAAAGGAGATCTCTTTCTAAAGAAGAATTATAAAGTGCAACCAACCATGGGTATTTATTTCATCATTCATGACAGTAATTCGTAAATTCTTAAAGAATACCTAAAATGGGATTTCCAGACTAAGGATTTTGTGAAGCTGGGGCGTTGTCCCCATGTCCATGAGCTCCTGCATCAGAAAGAAATAACAATTTCAAAGATTGGCGTTTGAAGAATTACAAACGCTGGGTGATCAGGATTGAAACGTTTTCGTGGGACATTGCCCACTTAAGTTGTGAATATGCTCATAGCAAAAAAATTGCAAATTTCATCTTTCTCTAGTAAAACCATTAGTTTTAACTTGAACAAAAAATTCATCCATCTGTATTTTTGTTGTATTTCAGTATACATTTTATTTACAGTTAAATCTTACTTCCGATTTGATGACGTCATCAGTTTAAATGTTGACGTCTTTAGTTATATTGATTAAGTTCAGACAGAATAACAATTCATTATGCGGTTAAAAACACATTGAACATATTGAAATGATAATGAATATTTATGTGTATGTATTTAACACTTAACTTCCGGTTTGATGTCGTCACAATATTTGAACGCCCAAGGTCAGCATTGTACCGAATAGATTTATGCTATGAGGTACGAACATAGTCGTTAAAAGCGGATCAAATACCGAATTTGAATTTAAATGAAACAAAACTTATCATTTGTTCATTCTCCCCACAACAACTTCCAGTCTGATGACGTCACGACGTCACGACTAATTACAAGTTCTGTCTGTCCATTTTTTTTTACACATCCTCTTTTTTTTACAATCTGATTTTTGTTTAAAATTCAACCTAGTAATCTTCCTCATCATGTTAATTGCCAGCATATTCACATATGTCATCATAGTCCAGTGTTTTAATCTGGTCGCGGTCTCTAAGTTGGACATCAGCGTTGGCCTTGGATTTGTCTCTCTTCACCACAGACCCCAACTGGAGGAAAAAAGAAATAGTCAGTGGGCTTGTGGAGCCAATGATGCATTTTCAGATGTAATCTTTCAATCTCTTTCCCAAGCTAGTTCAACACACTGATCTCTATATGATCATACACCAGTCACACAGTTGAATTTGCATTTGACCACTTTGCCCCCAATCTTCCAAAAATGGCCACCGATATTTACGAATGTTCTACGCCTACATACAGCATGCGCTGTATCAAGATTTGATGCGAATTTTGGTCACATACATGTACACATTTTATGATGTTCTAAAAAGGACACACTCTGTTGTGATTATATTTCCAAATGTCACAAACAGTGAACTGCAGCATTCAAAAGGTAAACCCAGACATTTGAAAATTGTGAACGCCAACTTGTCCTTTATAGATCACTAGCACTAGCTGGTCTCTCCGATGTAGCTTCAAATAACTTTCTTCTGCTGCTTTCTGTACACTAATCCAGTCTTTATATAGAGATCGATGGTTCAACACCACTTAATGCCATTTGCCCAATTCTTTTTTGGGTGGTGAAGTAAACCAGAAATCTAGCTAAACATGCAATCTGGGTGCGATTTTTTTTTTTCCAGCCAATAATATGGGAGTTGGCAGAATGGTTTCATTTCAAACCAAAACTTATTTACCCTTTGGGGGCATTTCACAAGCTTAAATGGGCACATCTGGCATATGAACCAAAGCCTACATAATGACTAAAAGCAATTTAATTAACTTGGTATTTTTTTTAACGTAAAACTATGTTTTCTAAAAGTGGCCATGGTAGGAGGAAAATAATGATTTTTAAATAAAAGGCCATACGTATGTCGTTTTTGGTCTGAAATCAGCAAAAAAAGTGTAATTCAATATACATATGGGCAATTCCATGAGAATGTAGACATGGCTGAAAAATGGAAAAATTATGAAATCTTCAAAACTGCAAGCATCAATATCTCAAATGTGGTATCCAATTAAAGGGCACATTCAAGATCTTTCATTTGAGTGATGTGGCAGTGAGATGGAATAGGGTTTAACATTTTTTCTTGGCTAACCTAAGCCACCCCAAACCTTTCAAATGCAACTGCATGTTTTGTTTGACTCTGTTAGAGTGAGAACTGCACTAGTAAACTGATTATGCTTTACACGGGGTCAAGCATACAACCATTAATCAGAGTCCAACTGTTTTGGTGTTGAGTTTGCCATATGTGACCCACTCCAGGAAAAGGTGATATAAGTCGTAAAAAATTACATTCAAGTTATATACACTATTGATTCGACAATGATTATTTTTAATGATTTTTGGAAAAAAGAGACTTTTTGAAACCAGATTACTATCTTTTGGCTAATTTGCATATTGATTAAAATTATAGTTTTTGGATGTAAAATAAAGATAACAATGCACACAAAAGTGAAACATTAAAAAAAAAAAAAGTGACATATTATTTGTAATTTTGCTTTTAAATAAACCACTTAGACTTCTTAGGGCAACTAAGCTAAATTCCGAAAATTGCAAACACCCCGAAAATGACAAACGAAAAACCGAAACCGACCTGACTCCACTGAAATGGTTGGGAAAACCGACCCGAAGTCAGTTTCGGGTCGGGCCGGGTCGGTTTTGGTTCGGGTTGGCACAAAATTAATCAGGAGTGTACCTGTCCACGTAGTTTCCCAGCAACGATCATGACACATGCCATGTCTCCTTTTGGGATTAATGTCTCTAGCATGCTTTGGTCAATATCTGTCAAAAGAACACAAAACACACACGAACAATTGTGAACTGTGAAATAAACAAAATGCAACTTGTTCATTCACCTGATGCAGATGAAATGCATTGATGGGTACTGAGAAAAAGGGAACTTATTACATGTTCAAGTGCAGACAACAAAAGTAATCCAGTTCCTATATTTTACAAGAACATGGGGTTTGAACAACTTAGTACATTATCAAGCCTGTGTTTGACCTGTGACCATGTTTGAGGTGAGCCAAGTGAAGGTTAAAATCAAAAGTTTGAAAGCATGTTGAGATATTTCTAAAAACAACTTCCCACAGGTGGCACTTTCCACTAGCCGAAATGAAATACATTTAAGGCCAATTTACGCATACGTGACATTGTCGCATGACAATGTTGCGCATTATTATAAACAAGCACAAATAAATGATTGATAGCATGCAAGATTTTGTGGCTAGATGTAAAAATGCACATTGATATGTCTATAATTTTACTTGTAAAATATGAGCCATAATGTCGCGTATGTGTAAATTGGCCTTTACACATGATGAAATGACATGGTAGGCCTACATTTTTACAAACTTCAAAAGGAGAAATTATCATGAATTTGGAAACATAAGGGTCATAACGGAACTTTTTTGAACATGTTCCCCTCTGCCCTTGACTAGGGCAGTTAAAGGGGTGAATATCAACAATTATTATATTATAAACTGCAACATTTTAAGTAAGGATGTTGAGCAAACACATATCAATCAAACAAACCAAGAGTCTTTATAATGGGATTTTTCCCTTCGCCGATGTATTTATAAAAACACTGTAACATACTAAGTCATTTTCACGGGCTTGCAAGAAAAAAATCACAAACTTACTCATGTGGGACTTGAACCCACAACATCCTGTTACTAGTGCAGAAAACAACAAATGTTTGGTTGCGGTACCCGCTGCTACATCGCCTCGAACCAGCCAGCCAACACCAGAAAGCTCAGTGGTCTAGTGGTAGGACATCTGCACTAGTAAGCAGGAGGCCATGGGTTCGAGTCCCACCTGAATAAGCTTGTGAATGTTTCCAGCAAGCCCTCGGACAACATTGAGTATACAGTGTTTATAAATATACATGCGAAGGGCAAAACCCCACGTAACATTTACATCTCCCTATGCAACTTCCATCTTATTAAAAAAAACACATCAAGGGTATCTTGCCTTCCAAAATTCTGCCATCTTCAGTCCGGCAAGTACAGATTCCCTGTGCTTTAACATCCTCAATACAGACTTTGCTATTGAAGTACCTGCCATTCTTATACTGTCTGTCAATGAAACGTACCCTCAAATCAGGTCTCAGCCAATAGGATTGCTCCCTGGACTGTGCATTGGCACTAGTCGTATTATAACTGCCACTGTCGCTGCAGGAAAAGACAGATCTGTATTAGTTTATTAGTATCTATACTAATAAACTAATTACTGAGATTAAAAGTTACTCCAAGTCAAAAGACAATTGCTACTACCTTTGCTAAAAACTCACAGACATCTCAATTGGAAACTGAAGCTGAAATTGAAACTGCTGGCAAAGCATAGCAATACACATGAGTGCCAATAAGCTCTCTGTCAACCGCAGAATTATGCACAAAATGATCATTCTCTATTTCTGTACTAAGCCTGTGAGCACATTATCCATGGTTACAGTATGTACACAAACATATTGACAAAGAGCATTGCAAGCATCAATATTTTTTTTTAATTATTACCAATAAATTCAGGTTAAATTCTACTTACTAACCAGTCTAAATCTACAAGTACACGAATATAAATGGTTTGTTCAGGAATATGTGAATTTGTTTTTACATACCGGTATAAATGAAAAAGGTCCCACAAACATGTCCGAGTTGTGTCAACACACACAAACATAGATGCACTTTTTATATGTCTGGTTACCAAGGCAATGCTCAAGTCAGTAACTCAAAACATATTGAACTCACCTGTCATACTTATCTTGTATTTTCCTCCTTTTTTTATCACTGTTCATCTGCCTCTCCTCCCTGTCACTACAATGTTGACCTTGGGTTTCCTCATTTGCTGCCACGTTACCGAACAGGAAATAAGGTGTTATCGACAAATACATTCGTTGTACTCCTTATTATTTTCTGAAGTTTTTTTCACCTTATGATGAATATGTATGCTTTCTGAACTAAATCAGTATGTTTACACAGTTTTAACTAATGACGTAATCAAAACGTACGTAAAATAAAATGTATAGTGATATTAATCAGACCCAAAGGAAGCATTGTTTCTATATTGAGAAAAATGGTTCCAGTCTGAGTGTCCTTATTCTGTTGTTTTGTTCAGGCATATTAATATTCAAAACCTCATGTCCATTGAACTAGTTGTTTGCCTGCCCGAGCACCCTGCGTTTTTAACTCAATAAACGCAAATGTCTAGTTATAAATTAGAATTGGAATTGCCCTGTGGCAATTTCATCGTTTAGAAAGGAAATGTTATGTCCGAGACAGAGCCAAGTAACCATGATTGCTACTTAACTCTGTAGTGTGCGACAGTGATGACATTGTGACAAATGCAATAAAGCTCTGTCACAGACATTACATTACGCTAAAATTGCCCCCTATCACTCAGTGGTATTATTTGAAAAATAAAACTAAACCGGGCCCATAAGTAACGCAGTGAAAATTCGTATTTACCTGCCCTCTCTGGCGGCGCACCGAAAGTAAGGTTAATTGAACCTGATTGACCAACAAAGACAGGGCTGTTAGGGCCGGAAATAGTGCCGGTGTTTCCGACGTTTCCACCTTGTTGTTGAGCACCTAAAATAAAATTAATATTAATCAAATGATCAGCACGGTATAATAATATCGCCTCAAATAAAAAGCACTTATCATCAGTAGCGTAAACAGAATCAGTATCGTAAAAAGACGGGGGTGCAGAGTGACAGATTGTAACAGGATGGAGATTTTAAAAGCAAAATCGGGACGCTGATAGAAACAAAATTGGGAAGGTGAAAATGAGTAACGGGAAGACATTTCTATTTTGCAACGGAATATTTTCTCACAATTGCCCTTTTGTTAAGAGCCCCATTTTTCACGAGCACTCTTACATCATCACGAGTGCCGTTGTTTAGGATTGTGGCGCCTTGAAGAGCGCTACCTGTTGTCCAAAGGTTTCCGGTTTGAACAACGCTTCTACCTCTACAATGAACCTCCACCACTACCACCCCCACCCCGCTCCCGCCATCTCCACCACCACCACCACTACCACGTTTTGATTTTACTGGGTGTACGGTCAAAATGACCTTTGCATACGCCACACTGCAACGGGGACACAAAACCCTGGTAACGCGACATAATTATGTTCAAGGAAATCTGTAAAGACATTTCCGACCTGAAAAACGGCTGAGTGTTCGCCGTTACATAAAGCACATCGCAAAATATTTACTTTTGGCTTGGAAACACACTTGCCTCCAGACAGCATGTCGTAACTATCACAGAAAGCGGTTCTACTTGTGTTAATTATTTTCTTTCCTCTACATTTTAGCTATGTTTTCAGCAAATTTACTTAGCAGATAATTTTTTTCGTATCGTGCAATTTTTGATTTTCATTTGTTACGTGTGCTCATTGGTATTTCTAAAACAATTCACTGTTTTAATTTGCTCAAAATCATGTTAGTGGAGGTCTATTTGCGAATGATCTAATATCAAGATGAGAGGGCAAATACCTTTACTTAGTAGTAGTGACTGTAGCGGCCAAACTTAGACAGATTTGTTATTTTTTGCCAAGTGAGGGCGCTGTACCGGAAAGACGGCAGCTAAGCAAAAAAGCAACATGGCCTCAGCTCGATCTCGATGGAATTGCAACTTGTGTTATTCTTCGCCCAAAGCATTAATCTGGTCAAGGTGTATTAAACGGTTGGTTACTCTTAAATAATTTATGATTCAGTGACTAGTGTGATATTTAGTGATATTTTGTAAGCCTAAAAGTTGTATTGCTTTTAGTTTGGAAATTTGTGTGCATGTATATATAGAACATTTACTTGTAAGTGATATTTCATTTGAGCTGATTCTGTTAATTAGGTTACATAAGCTCTTGATAATTTCTTGTAACACATACATTTTATTTTCTATTTTATTGTAGTAAATCTGTGCCTGTACCTGAGCCTGACATGTGTATGACTACCAAAACTGTGAGAAGTTGTACAACACAATACATTTTCTGGATCTGCGCACAGCATTTTATTGGTGACTGCTCTATGTTCCGACAACCTAGATTGTGTTAGTCCCGGTTAGGGTTAGGGTTAGGGTTAGGGTTAGGGATAGGAATATGTGCAGTCGGAACATAGGGGTGTCGGAACATAGAGGTGTAACCCATTTTATTCAGTAATCTTTGGCAGATTCAGTGACAGTATACTGTTTGAAAGCCATGGGAGCAACGCTGAGACTTGACACTTTGATCAAACACACGGATTTGTACATACACATTATGTAATTTCCCCCAAGACGACACTATTATGGCAACTATACGATTTAATAGCTTAATGCACTCTGCTAAGTCTGAGGTAGTACAACACTCAGTGGCCTTTTTTTTGTTTTCGTGCCAGAGAGAATGTACTTATATTCGTTGCGGCTGTAAAGTGCTGACGCTTTCAAGTCACATAAAAACAATAACAAAAGGCAAGTTCCCCTCCTCTCTGACTCCGCCTTAGTGTGTAAAACTTACTATCAAAATAATTGTGGAAAAAAGAGGAAGATTTGCGTGCATTCTTCCACAGAAAGGGTGAATTGACTCCTTGCTTTTGTTAGTTTTGATCCACCAAACAATAACATCGGTGAATGTTAATGATGTTTGTGACACAGAAGTGGCCAGTGATTTTTCTTTTTTTCCTTGTTTTGTGAATTTTTGGAATTCTGACAAAATCGTGACATAAAGTTTCTGCATAATTGTTAGAGATAACTTGAATACCGTGTTGAATTGTTTTGCAGTCACTCGTTGGTTGTTGGAGAATTAGCTGTGCTTTTATCTCAGTTTTGGGAAACTTTCTTTATGTTGCGTACTGTATTGTAAAAATCTTGTGGCCAAACAGTTTTGTCTCATTTAATTCTACACAGTTTTGCGGAAGAAAAATTTCAGTAGTACTAAATTGTACTTACTAACAAGTAACTAGAATGGAAGAACAACCTAAAAGCGAGTACGTAACATTAAGACAGTCAATCAGAGCTGTAGAAGCCGAGATTGACGAAGCTTATGATAAGCATCAGGGTAACTCGGTGATGGTCGAGGGGGTTGGTCAAGACTCCCCAAGTGTTTTTTTTCTTCTTTTATGCAGTCCTCCACCACAGCACCCGAAGCAGACTCCACTAGTGGGGAGTCATTACAGACCACTTATGTGCCGAGCACATTTGTCGGACTGTATGATGTGGCAAATGCAGGTAACGATACCGTGCCGAGTCAGCAGGGTGTGTTACCAGCAGATTCAGGTAGAGAGAAGAGAGTAGCATTTGATGCGAATGTGAAAAAATGTACATGGTCCTCCATGTACTAGTAGTTACTCAAAACCACTCCACACTTCTACACCAACATGTAGAGCGAAAAATCCCTTCGCCCCTTCGGCATTTGATCATGCTATGGCTAGTGGTGGACGTACCGGTAGTTCTTAACCACCACTCTGGGTTTCCATGCCAGTATCCAGTTCAAAAAACCCATTCACTCCTCCTCCGTCTTATCATTCTAGGGCCAATCAGATGTGTACTGCCTCGTGTAGTACCGAAAGTAGTTCATTACGAGAACCTAAGCCTGTTGTCATGCCTGAGTCTTTTGATGGTGTATCACTTACCTTTGAAGATCGGTTGACACATTTTGAAATTTGTTGCAAGATAAATGGCTGGACAGAGAGCCAAAAATTTTCATTTTTAGCTGTCACGTTAAGAGGAGCAGCTTTGCATGTGTACACAGACTTACCGGTGGAGAATCGTAACAAATATGCGAGTGTTGTACAGTCATTAAGGAATAGGTTTGACAGGTCTCACCAAACTGAGCTGTATAAGGTCCAGTTGAGGGCAAGGGTAAGGAAGTCAGGTGAAAGTCTATCTGAGTTGGCTGGTGCCATACGTAGACTGACTAATCGGGCTTATCCTGGGATTTAAGTTGAGGTTAGGGAGGATCTGACCAAAGATCAGTTCATAGAAGCTTTGGACTCCCGTCATACCCGTCTGCAGATAAGACGGCGTAAACCATCAAGTTTAGATGAGGCATTGTCCTGAGCAATGGAGGAAGAGATGTTGCTTTCCTTGGAAGAAAGGAGAACAAACTCACCAGCTGGTGTTCAGGTTTTGAATAGTTCAGGCAGTCCTGTGTAAAAGATTAGTGTCCCTATGTCTGTTGCAGATGGTATCAAGAAAGATCGACAAATTGGATATGACCGTTTTCTCAAACTCAGTAAGAAAGTTGATGATTTCATAGGGATGGTTGAATCATTGAGGATGAAAAACAACATTTCTCATCAGAATAGGGAAATTGTTGGCTGGACGTGTAAGAAAAAAGGGCACGTCCGTGCAAACTGTCCAGATAACCAGTACACTAGCACTGCACCTACTAACAAACCAGATAACACTTCTGGTGTATCCGGTTCGGAAAACTAAGTTCGGCTAAGAAGGGGTCGACTCTTGTCTGGAGGAAGTTGGAAAGACCCAGAGTAGAGATTTTGAGGGACGGTCTGTGTTTGTCCAAGGTCGAGTGTACAGTCAGGATGTTCAATTTCTGGTCGATACTGAGTCGTCACATTCAATTTTGCATTCAGATGTGTGGGAAATATTTCCGGACGAAGTAAAGAGGAAAATTCGTCAGACCTCAAGATCACTGGTCACTGTAGATGGAAGTCCGCTTGATGTGGTTGGTGAGGCGACTATTACCCTCCACTTTGGTAAATTAAGAGTCAAGATGGATGTCATCATCGCAAATGTGACCCAAGCCGGAATTATTGGATTTGACTTCTTGGAAAATTCAATGCCACACTTGATTTTTCAAGAGCCAAATTAATTGTAGATAAATGTGAGATAACCTTACGAAGAGAAAGTAATCTCCCTATGTGTTGTCGTGTTAGTATAGCAGAAACGACTACTGTTCCTGCTCGTTCCGAAGTTGTCTTACCCGGTAAAATCCGTGTAAGGGGTAAGTTGCCTTCCAACGGTGTTGGTGAGGCAACTTCCCAATACCAAAAACAATCCCAAGGTATTGTTATGGGTACAACCTTGGTTAACCCTCAAAAAGTCATTGTGCCTTTACGAGTTATAAACCCAACTGCTTCAGATCTCGTTTTGTACAGGGGTACCAACGTTGCCGTGGTGCAGCAGGCGAGTGAAGTGTCATCGGCGTTTGTTGAAGACACATCTTGCCCACCTGCTGCACTGGATCGTCCCCTACAAGACTTGCTAGATAGGAGTTCAGATGGCTTGAAGGAAGACCAGAAGGTAGCTCTCCATCAGTTGTTGCAAAAGCATCAAGATGCATTTATGGGTCCTGATGGCAGACTTGGGAGAACCGACCAATTCTTTCATCGCATTGACACCAGAGATGCTTCACCAATCAAACAGCATGCTCGACGGACGCCAATTCATCAGAGGGTTGAGGTACAGCGACAGCTAGATGAAATGCTTGAGCAGGGGGTGGTTCGACCATTTCACAGCCCCTGGGCCTCTCCGGTTGTTCTGGTCAGAAAAAAAAGATGGTAGCTTGAGGTTTTGCATTGATTATAGGCGTCTCAACCAGGTGACCAAAAAGATGCATATCCCCTGCCCCGGATTGATGACAGTCTAGACGCTCTTGCCGGTTCCTGCTGGTGTTCTACTCTAGACCTAGCGTCTGGATATTAGCAGACGGAAGTGCATCCTTTCGACCGTGAGAAAACTGCCTTTACAACAGGTACTGGGTTATACGAGTTCAATGTGCTCCCTTTTGGACTGTGCAATGCCTCAAGTATACGTTCGAGAGGTCGATGGAGGTTGTCTTACAGGGTCTTCAGTGGGAAGTTTGTCTCATCTACCTGGATGACATTATCATCTATTTCAAGGGATTTGACGAACATTTAGACCGGTTGTCGACGGTATTGAGTGCACTCCAAGGAGCAGGGTTAAAGCTGAAGTCCAAGAAATGTGTTCTTACACGTCCAGAAGTCACCTATTTGGGCCACGTTGTTTCCTCTGACGGAATTGCTACCACCCTGCAAAAACACAACGAGTCCGGGAATGGCCTACTCCAAGTAACCCCAACGATGTTCGTAGCTTCCTTGGCATTTGTTCTTACTATCGGAAGTTCATCGCTGACTTTGCTCACATCGCTGAACCCCTACATCGACTGACACAGAAAAATGTGCCATCTTGTCCCAAATCCATGATGGAAAAGAACAAGTCATAGCCTATGCAAGTCGTACCCTCAGTAAAGCAGAACGACGGTACAGCGTCACCAGGAGAGAGTTGCTGGCAGTTGTTAAGTTTGTCCGACACTTTAAACATTACCTCTATGGACGACGTTTTCTGCTGCGTACTGATGATGGTTCTCTGCGGGGGTTATTCAGCTTTAAAGACCCAGAAGGGCAAGTCGCACGCTGGTTGGACATACTCAACACTTTTGAATTTAACATCCAACATCGACCTGGTACCAAACACCGAAACGCAGATGCGCTGTCCAGATATCCATCAGTGACTGGGGAGTGTAATGCCATTTCTCTACCATGCGGGGAACTTGACAAAATAAGCAGGGCACAGCAAGATGATCCAATTCTGGCACCGATTATCATATGGAAGAAGGCGGGGCAACGACCAGATAGTACATCTATTAGTGGCTTAGACCGACGAACCAAGGGCTACTGGTTCCAGTGGGACCAACTGGATCTTCGTCAGGGCTGCCTCTATCAGCGCTGGACCAACGATACTGGCAACGGATCTCGCCTGTTACTTGTCGTCCCTGACTCTCTTCAACAACAGATCGTGGCAGCAGCTCATGACGGGCCGGGCGGCGGTCATCTGGGTTTAGCCAAAACAATCCCAAAGGTCAAATATATGTACTACTGGATTGGGTGTAGTAAGGATGTCAAAATTTGGATTCGACAGTGTCCTCAATGTCAGAGCAGGAAGTCCCCAAATCCAAAACGGCGAGCTAATCTTGTTCAAGTT